CATCTCCTCATCGATATCCCTTTGCAGTCTATTGACCAAAGCGATAAAGTCGCGTGCCTCGTCTGGAGTCGGAGGAATCTTGGATATAGTCGGGTGTTTGTAGTAGCGGATTCCACCCTTCTCCATTTCGGCAGGGTTATAGACCGGGCTTTCATGACTGATGTCTATGACAGCGTGGATGCGACCACGGTACTTTGCTGAGAAAGTCGTAGGGTTGTGTTCCTCGTCAACCTCGCGCAACATCTTGAGCGCGACAAATGTGTTGGCGATTCGTTCCGAGACCGGGGCGACCTTCTTCCATTTGGCGAGATTCTTGACATCCCATTTTCCAGATGTGTTCATGTGCTGCAATTGCCAGCCCAGACCGAGACGCTTATCGATATTTGACGAGAGGAAATCCTGGATAATCCCTGCAAGAGTGCGATAGGTTGCCCGGTCGTAGAGAAGTGCATGAGATGCGGGCGCCGGCAAAATTGCAGATTTGACCACTCGCTTCCGCTGGCCAACCTGCAAGTGCTTCTCGGAGATCTGCACACCAAACACCCTCTCGTTGACAAGACCGTCGGATGGAGGTGACATCTGGTCATGGACCCGCGAAGCGTCTGGGATGATGCTGCCACCGCTGGTATCGATAGTGGTATGGGCTGAAGCATCACCAAAGAATTTCAAAATCTTCTGCACCTCCACTGGTTTGGTCACAGCATCCGTCTCTCCCGCGACCAACAGAACTGGCATGCGGATTCCCGCCCAGACCTCTTGACCAGGGAGTCCGCCAATCGCGTGGCCGCCATTATCGTAGGTGGGAAGTGTGCCCCACGCCATGCGTCGCCAAACAGGCGTCCGACTTTGCTTGTTGAAGCGTAGCTGGAGATTTCGTGTTTCCGCGTCGGCAGCGACGCCGACCATCCGCATAACACTGGCACTTTGTTCGCCTCCACGTCTGTCCCAGCGACGCCAAAGATCAAAAAGTGGATTAGGAACATAGAGCGCTCGGCGAAACTTGGTAGTGTCCTCCGTAGATGGGGGTGAGGCTCGAGGGCACACAGCAACAAGGCCGACTATGTGCTCTTTCACCTTTACACCAACGGAGGATACCGATGAAGCCAGGAGGGCGGATAAGGAACATCCGAGACTGTGTCCCACAAGAATGATTTCTTGACCAGCCTCCCGGTCCCGGTGCTGATCAATGGCTTCAGCCAATAGTTCGGATAGAGCCTCCACAGTGTATGCATTCCAATCCGTAGGCGCAAACTTAGACAGGCCGCACCCGGGTAAATCAATACCAAAGCATGAACTGACATTAGACAGGCTAGTTAGGAGGTGGTGGAATTGTGCTAGGGACCCGCCTAGCCCATGAACAACCACGATCAGTGGGATAGGAGTCGGTTTGGTCGGGAGTCGAGCTAGGTGTGGATGCGGGCTGTAGAATGTGCGAATGGCGGGATAGGTAGCTACCGAGGTAGTGTAGGAGTTGTACGTGGTGAATTTCCTGAGAATGCCTGGGTCCGTTTCATATGCTGCGCGAGTGTTAATCAAGGCCTCAAGAGAAAGGTGATTTATCAACCTACCATCGGAGCTTTGTTGCTGAGTGTCCGAGGGCCAATCTTTCTTCTTGTAGTTGGGATTGGTTCCATGTCGCAACGATGCGTTGCTATTGTAGTCTTCATCTTCGTAATCCTCCTCTGAGGAACTTAGAAACTTCGAAGATTTAGTCGAGCTGTTGCGAGCGGCGGAACGCTGCGCGCGAGCATATTTTAACTCTGACTGCTTGCGCCTCAGCGACGACAACAACCCACATCCAGTCATGGCGAGCACACAGGTAGTTAAGAAGACAACCTGACCCCAATTCACATCGTCATTGCGGAAAAGGCCGCGGAAAGAGCTGGCGATGGAGAAAGAAGCGTTTTGGGTGGCCGCGCGCACTGAGTGAAAGAACCGCAGGATAGTCGCGACACTTGAGGGTTTGGATTGAGACGTCAACGAGTCGTAGAGGGCGGAGATAGCGTCGGAGCCCATGATTAAGTACCGGAGGGGCGTGGGCTATTTCAGAGCCCCCCGATAGGGATATCGCCAAGAACCACGCGATGGCGCGCCAGATGCTCTTTGGATATAGGGCAAATAGGCCTGAGACCAATAAGGAAAGCTATATCGACAACGTTGAAACCTTTGAGTGGCGAGGATAAGAAAAAGTAGAGAGATCAGCTTCGGCCACTCACAGCCTCGGGAGCCGCAGCGTGGGGGTGAGTCATCCATTGGCCCCACTTGGGTTTTGCAAATTTGGGAAGGAACTTGCTTGATTATGGTATTTACTATGAGAGGAGAAGTACTTTTTGAATATACACCATTAGGCAGATCCATGGATCTTGCATATTTAGCATAATTCTTCCCGATAATCTATATCCCTTGCTCTTTATTGCCTCCTATACACCACATATGTAAATTCCCAAGATGTCGATATTGGACTCCATTTCATAGTGCCCCCGGGCATGCGTGGCTTCTTAATTACTACTGGGCAGTTTCAAGCGGGGCCACGATGATCATATTTCGAATGTTTATGCCTTTTCTAGAATGTGGTAGAATAGACCATAACATCATTTCAACTGCGAAGCATGCTATCTACATTTACACTCAGGTGGCATATCGTAATGATTCATTAAAAGAGATCTGTCATGGCTCCCTGTGATGCATCACTGACCAATCGTGCGTACTTGGCCAACACACCGCGAGTGATTTGCGGTGAAGGAGGGGTCCACTGACGCCGTCTCTCCTGAAGCTCCTGGTCCGACACATCCATCGAAAGCGAGTTAGTCTCGGCGTCAATAGTGACGACATCCCCATCACGGACGAGCGCAATCGGGCCACCCACGGCAGCTTCAGGCACAATGTGGCCGACAATGAAACCGTGGCTGGCACCCGAATACCGTCCATCAGTAATGAGCGCCACGTTGGTCAACTTGGCTCCCATCAGCGCGGCACTGGCCTTCAGCTGTTCCGGCATTCCAGGCCCACCCTTGGGGCCCTCGTAACGCACGATGATCACGAGGTTCTCGCCGCGCGGGATGCGGCCTTCATTCAAAGCATCGTTGAGTTGGTGTTCCTTGTCGAAGACACGGGCTTTGCCAACGAATCGGAGCCCCTCCTTGCCGGTAATCTTGGCAACAGCACCGCCTGGTGCAAGGTTGCCACGTAGGATCTGCAGGTGGCCGCTAGCCTTGATTGGGTTGTCCAATGGGCGGATCAGATCTTGGCCCTCAGTTAGGGAGGGGAACGAGGCAACATTTTCGGCCAGGGTCTTGCCCGTCACTGTGGGGATATCTCCATCGAGCAGACCGGCTGCGATCAGCAGCTTCTGCACAGATGGGACACCTCCGATCTCATAAAGATCGGCCATATAGTACTTCCCACTAGGTGAGAGGTTGGCAATGAAGGGGATCTTGTTGCTGACCCGCTGGACGTCATCCAGCGTCAGGTCAACACCAGCCGTCCGAGCCATGGCCAGGAAGTGAAGAACACCGTTAGTACTACCGCCCAGCGCCATAGTCATGACGAGAGCATTTTCAAAAGACCGCTTGGTCAGTAGGTCCCGTGGGCAAATGTTCTTCTCCAGGCAAACCTTGATAGCATCTGCAGCACGCACACACTCGCGCATCTTGGATGGAGATTCAGCAGGCGTGGATGATGAGCCGGGTAGTGACAGACCCATTGACTCAATAGCAGTGGCCATGGTGTTTGCAGTGAACATACCACCGCAGGCGCCGGCGCCAGGGCAAGCATGCTTTTCCAAGTCATCCATGATCTCATCCTGAGTCTTGGTTTGGTCACCACCGTCGTCGGGCTGGCGTAGGGTACCGTAGGCGTAGGCACCCGCAGCCTCAAAGCATGTTGAGACATTGATGGGTTTCCGCAAGTGCTCGGAGTAGCCGATTCCAATGGTTCCACCGTAGATCATAATTGAGGGGCGGTTATGGCGAGCCATGCCCATTACAACACCGGGCATGTTCTTGTCGCAACCTGGAATAGCAATGCAGGCATCGTGGTATTGGGCACAGGTTACGGTCTCGACACTATCGGCAATGACCTCTCGGGTCTGAAGAGAGAATCTCATTCCTAGCGGAGGTTAGCTATCTCGATTCTTGAGACCTGACAGTCAACCAACCTTCACTGCCCATGGTGATTGCATCCGAAACACCAATGGTGTTGTACTGCCACCCAAGCATTCCCTGTTCCAAGACTGACTTCTTGACAGTCTTGGCCAAGTCCATCAAGTGCATGTTGCATGGGTTCCCTTCCCACCATACTGAGGCGATACCGACATGTGGGCTCTTGGCCATTGCTTCTTTATCTGGGACACCGGCGGCATAGAGCATAGCCTATATCGGTCAGTAATAGACCACATGATTCGCTCATTGTCAACTTACCCGTGCCCCGGGGAAATCATGGCCTCTGGTGATAGTGTGGGAGTGACGGTTGAGTGCGGGGGAGCCATCCGGATGCTTCGCATCTGCGGGCAAAGAAGGGAAGTTGATATATTTGGCCTCGCTGAGAGTGCTAGACTCCATTGGCTTTGAAGGATCCATGACTGTGAGGTTGAAGAAGAACAGACAAGAGAAAGAGGCTGCAGACGCAATTGACCAGAATTATAGCCCACACAATCTCGGGAGCTTCGCACCGATGTCCGATCCCCAGAACCCCACGTTCAGGATTGTCCAGTTAAATGCGGCCGATTTATGAGCAGATCGGAGTTGAGCCTAGTCTCCGGATCTACATTGTATAAGGTTGTATAGCATCATAAGTCTGTATATCAATAGTTAAAGCCGCGTTGTTATATTTACTCGGTATATTTACAAAATGATCGCAGCAAGGGGGAGAGTCCGCAAAATCCGACCGCATCCGTCCATGGCATGGCACTCACGTCATACATATGCTACCTCTGAAAGTATTTAGCATTTAGGAACTTCAGCTGTATTTCGTTCATTCTGAATTCCAGACCGAGCTACATAATGGCCACCGACCTGAGAATCGCCCAGGCAATTGGGACGCTTGGCTGTGCAATGGCAGCAAGTAAGTAGCACTACACAATAGATGACCAGACAACTCACAGTATACAAGGCGGCATTGCTACATTGTCAATCATGAGCATTCCCAATATCGTCCTTCCAGCCCGTCGCCCGCCCGGCACGACACTGCCATTCCAGGATACCCCAGGAACCTCGACCACTCACTTGACACATCAGTGGCTTGATCTGTATGAGCGTGGCAGCAGGATTTTCCCCGGTATATCCGCAGTATCTTCACTCGCAAACCTCTATGCGCTCTGGGTATTGCGGGATACTCCTACCCCTGCCCCTGGTTTCGTTGGATCCAGCTGGTCCGCATGCTATCTGCTTGCTGTGGGAGTGACGATGAGCATTGCACCTTTTACCTTGACAGTGATGAAGAAGACGAATGCCAAGCTGAAGGCTCATGCAAAGCGCGATGATGCGTCTGGCGCCGAGGGTACTGAGGGCATGGTGGTTAGTGCGCAGGAGAAGGCGAAGCGTGGTAGGGATGATAGCGAGGTGGTTGAACTTTTGCAGCATTGGTCGAAGTTGAATTTGATCAGGGCTACGCTTCCACTTGTTGGAGCTGGTCTTGGGTTCTACGCTGCTGTTTCTAGCTGGGCAATTCCTTGAATGGGAATGTTAAAAGTTGTGGAGGGTTCAATGTCTCCGCTGTTTGTTAAATTAGTCTCGTGTATGCTTATGTGAATGGAAACTCTAGTTCAAGAATGGGTATCGTCAAATTTCTATCGGGGTTGCAAGTTGTATATGTACTGCGGCTACCCAGGTAATTGTATATTTATAAACAAGTTGGAGAAGAGAAGGCCAGTGTATGGCCCTAGGATCATCCGTAGTGTGAAGCGATGTGCCTAAGGGTCACTGTCAAGTTGAAGCCGGCTTTTGGTCCAAATCCTCGTTCGTATCTCTTGCGCCGTCGTCCTCTGTAAATTCTTTCTCAATAGTGGACCATTGCTCTGAATGCTGCAAGGCTTCATCAGCGCTGATCTCCTGCAACGGACTGGATTTGTCCGATGAGCTCTCCTGGTGAAGATCTGTCCCACGGGTCTCTCCATCTGGTTCCCCGTCAATGGCAAAGCCAACCATCTTCCCAGTGCCAGGCTGCGACCGTGCCTCTTCTAGCACATCGCCATTCCAAGGCTGGCATTTCTTGACAAGTTCACCACACCGGAGGCAAGACCATCCCTGGCCTTCTTCTGCTTCGACTTTCTGCACAATACAGACGAAGCAATAGATACAGCCGCAAGGGACAGTCTCGTATGGGTTTGCGATATCGGTTTGCGCCGATCCAATAATACCCCCCGACGCAGATGCTGCCATGGCATCGGCTTCTGACGTTGTGGTCGGGTTCTGATCGCGGTAGCAGATAGCACAGGTTCTTTCTGGGAGGAAAGCCAGCTCTCCTTGTTTTTCGGAATTCTCGTCGTCATCCCCGCTTGACCGAACAGAATTGACCATCTTATGCCAGGCACGGGTGATCCATCGCCGCCAGCGACCAATTCCAACAAGAGGGAGGAGGAAAAGAAGAAATTCGGTAAACGCATGCCAAACTAGTTGACGGTTTAGATATTCAAAGGATACTTCCCGGCTAGCCTGTGCCGATGGCGGAGTAAGACGGATGCGAAGGACGCGATCAACCAAGGTACGGTATCGGCCATTCACTAGAAATACCAGGAAAGAGACGAAGGCGGCAATTGAGTGCGATGTCGAGATCATGTCTGTTAGTCGCGACAGCATTCGGATGTCCTGTGATGGCTTTAAAATCTCAGTTAAGTAAAATGTTGCTAACAGAGAGTAATATGTCGGCAACTAACCTCATCATAGCCACCTTCTTGTCCGACCAACCAACTCTCCCACTTGTTCCAAGCATATCGCCCCCCCACCGTCAATAAGCCATATATACCCTTCTGCCATTTCGTCGGAGAAGAGTAAACAGGTCCTTTGCTTCGACTATCGGTATATTTGAGGCCTTGTAGTGCCGCACCGTATGATGCATTGTGATCCCATATTGATAGTTTAAAGAGGATAGCTCGTAACGCGAACAGAATCTCATTTGACCAATCTTCCCGCATTTGAGGCTATTATCATTGTCAGCCACCAGTTATCACAGCACCTCAGAGACTTATTCGCCAAGTATTCAAACATACCCCGAAGTATTTGAGGGCATCGCCGACCTGTCCCTTCATCAGACCAAGCAGCTCCTCGTCCAACAATTCAGCATCCACCTGGCCCACTCGAAATGCGGGGCGCGTACCATCCCGGCCTTTGACAGAATTCCATAACCGCCACCCCGAGCTGGGCAATCGATTCAATGGATATGGCAGACGCTGGACGGCGGCCGGGCTGATCGGTGAGGCCCGCTGCTGTGCTGCATTGCGGGCGCGTGCTTCGGCCTCACGCTGGCGACGACGTTCAAGAACGCGCTCTTGTGCAGCTGTGAAGTTTGTCGAACTCATCGCGAAATCATGACTTTATTGAAGATAGGAGGGAGCGGGTTGGGGATTCGTAAGAACACGGGGAAATGGGTCCCGGAGTTGCTCATCGTGCTCGGTTCCCCAGACGAAAGAGCCGAGGTATATCACGTGACTCTCTCTCTAATACCATTTTGGAAATTGTGAGTAGTGAAGATGAATATAAATTCGTAGTGATACAAGCAGGATTCTAATGTGTAGCTGACTACGGACTAGGTAGTATAACGTCGTGTTGGAAAGCGTCGGCTCGGCCCTCGGAGATGCCATTGACATGCAGAGTCAACTATAAAACTTTCCTGATGCATATGAGTCCCACTGGATTTTATCAAGGCATCCATGGCCAAAGCTTATCGTTGAATCAAAAGACGGTGAGTTGAAGCACTGGAAATTGATACAGATATCTAGGCATTCAACATAAGTCATTTTCAATTGATCCATGTAAGTCAGTTTGCTACCTGATTCGTACAATCTCAACCATATTGTCCAATCAAACCCATCAGAACTCATGTCGGAGCCTTTCCTTGCGTTTGGGTCCACGCAATAATGACTGGGTTTGAAATGGCGGCCAAATTGAAATGCTTCGCTGGCGGTTTTATAAATCAAACCATCATCCAGTGTTGAATCGGCCTTTGGTTAAATCTGTTCTTTTGCTTAGTTCATTATTGTCAAACTTGTCAAGCTAATCAGTATGGCTTCTACGGTGAATGAAACTATCGAGACTCGGCTGTTCATCAACGATGAGGTAAGGATCAACTACGCTTATTACCCCAGGATTGCTACATATATACCAACAACGCTTCTTAATACTGACCTTTCTAGTTCCGAGAATCGTCTAGTAGCAAAACATTCGAGGTGGTATATCCATACACCAAAGAGGTCGTTGCGCAAGGTGTGTCCTCTTCTCCCCAAAACCCAATATCATGCTAACGTATACTCTGTTGCCTAAGTCCAAGAAGCAGACATACAGGACGTAGAGGATGCTGTTAGTGCTGCCAACGCAGCTTTCCCCGCATGGCGAGATCTAGGCACCGAAAAGCGCGGCGCGTACCTGGGCAAACTATCCCAGCTCATTTTAGAATCAAACAACGAGCTGGCAAAGCTCGAGACACTCTCCACTGGCCGACCTATCTCGCAGTTCTTCGACGCTAGTTTCGCAGCTCAGTTCTTCGGGTACTTCGCTGGCGGCGGTTGGACCGTGCAGGGGACGGCCAGCCTCAACACGCCGGATCACTTGAATCTGACCGTCAAGCAACCATATGGTGTGGTGGCGCTTATCATCCCGTGGAACTTCCCGCTTATCATGTTTGCCTCGAAGATGGCATCGGCGCTGGCGGCAGGCAATACAGTTGTGCTGAAGAGCAGCGAGAAGGCGCCGTTGACGGTTTGTGAAATATCTTTGTTGTCTCACTTAACCATGCGAACTGACACTCTACACAGTCTCTCTATGTAGCCAAGCTGATTAAGAAAGCCGGCTTCCCTTCCGGAGTGGTCAACATCATCTCTGGCTTCGGCAATCCTACTGGAGCGGCGCTAGCCTCGCACATGACCGTCCGCTGTATCAGCTTCACCGGCTCCTCGGCAACGGGTCAGAAGATCCAGGCGGCAGCTGCAAAGTCAAATATGAAGCACGTACACATGGAGCTAGGCGGGAAGTCACCGGCGATTATCTTCGAAGACGCAGACCTGGAGACAGCTGTTGCGCAGACACAGTTCAGCATCCAGTTCAATAGTGGACAAGTGTGCTCGGCAAACTCACGGATCTATGTGCACGAGCCAGTGGCTAAACAATTCACTGAGCTGTTCCGTGAGAAATTTGCTGCTGTCCGGATGGGTGATCCCCTCGACCCTGCTACGTCGCATGGTCCGCAGATTGATGTGCTGCAGTATAACCGGATCAAAGGATACCTTGATATTGGGGAGAAGGATGGGACACTCAGTCTGGGTGGTGATGCAAATGACGGGTTCTTTGTGCGGCCGACTATTTTTGAGGGCGTTGCTGAAGATTCGCGGCTGATGCAAGAGGAGGTCTTTGGTCCGGTTGTCGCGATCAATACTTTTTCTACCGAGACTGAAGCGATTGAAAAGGCCAACAATTCAGAGTTTGGCCTGTACGCTGCTGTCTTTACCAAGGATATTGATCGCGCCGTTCGTTTGGCTAAGGCTCTGGATGCGGGTACTGTTGGGGTGAACTGCACTAGCCCGACGAATGCTCTGGATACTGCGTTTGGTGGACTCAAGATGAGTGGGAATGGCCGAGAGGGGCTTCTGTATAGCCTTGACAGTTTCCTTGAGACCAAGAGTATCTTGATCAAAACAGCACGTTTGTGATATATACCTGGTTTGGCCGAAGGCATGGTTGGCAATGGATGTTTGGTTTCGGGTTATAGAGAATCGAGTACAATAAATTATGCAAAATTACGTGACTCTACCAAAGAAGATCCAGTATTTACCAGTACCCAAAACCCAGAGGTATTCTATCAATGGCGTAAATTTAAGTCATCCCAGATCATACATGGAAAGGTCATTTTCACAAATTGAGCCTTTTCTCTCTTTCTGCCGTCTACCTACCTATAAAACTAAAAAGGATGAGAGAATATCTTCAAAAAACGAAAAAAAACAAATCTAGACAAAGTAACCGAAGAGATCGCTGAGATGACCACTGAAAAGGCATTACAAGGCTGTATAAGCGGCCAACCATCGTAGAAAAGTCTCTTGCACAAAGTATGCTTTTTTGCCGCTTTTTATCTCCCATTGGAATCTCAGCCTCACTATTTCGCTGTCTCTCTTATTCTACCTCGCTGTATACTCTTAGGACATCCCTACAAGCGTTTCGACTTATATTTTTAGCATTTAACGTTATATATTGCGCTTTATCGCTAGTATGCTATACATGGAAAAATCGTTTTCCGTATTTTGCGCATCGCTTATATGTATCCGTGGCAATGTTTATATTGAAATTGGCAACACACGGTCCTCATCTTCCCCTTGCCTCCACAAGACAAAGACAGATCATCTGATAGATGTCTTGTTTGCCAGACTTTGACTAGCTATTAGTCTAGCTTCTGGTTGTTTGTAGACAATCAATCTTTCTTCCTTCCTCTTTGCTCTGTCATATTCCAACCTTGCCCAAACCAACAGACTTGCCCGTTGAACCCTTCAAGGTACTAGATTTGCTCTTGTCGACAAGTTGGATGCGCAGCGCCTCTGCACCCACGCTCTCCTGCCCCGCAAGTGACATGCAGTATTGCTTGGCTGCATATACAACGAATGGACCTACAATGGTGCAAGACAGCCATTCACGACACTCTGGAACTTTGTGCGGATATTACGTAACAATTCTCACGTTGCGAACACTTGAATTGCAGGTTTCTGGGAACTCATTATACCCTCCCAATAAGCTCAAGGAGCTGGTTTTGTTCGGCAAAGTTCCCGTGGTCGTTAATAACAACAATGAACTGGATCATGAAGCGCCCAAATCATTCTCAGATGAAGACTACAAAAATATTACATCAGATCCCAAGCTTGACCACTTTTGGTCAGTCTTCTATCTGTCAAGTCCGCAGAATTTGTTGTTGTTTATCAAGTTCTTATGTCGCTATGCTGTTGTTTCTCACGTGGAAACTCTTCATGTAGTTGGGCGTTCCGGATCGGTATTTACATTCTCAGATGTTCAAGCTCCTCGCTTAGAAAGATTGAAAAGTCTCTCGCTTTGTCTTGACAATGATGACTGCCTCTCAGGGATTTTGAATTTCGAGATCTGGGACTGCCTGCAAAAGCACGAAGAGAGTCTTGACATCGATATCTTCGAATGAATAGAAAAAACCACAGTAATAGTCCCGGCTATTTTGGTCTTCTTCGTGAGTTTGCGAAGCTTAGGCATCTGTCTGTTCAATCTGACATCCTCCTGGGTGGTTGCTACGACTTACTTGTGCCCTTTTCCTTGCAAGACACATTACCATCAACAATACAAGCTCTCAAGCTGTATGACAGCGAACTCCCGATCTAATTCCTGACCTACCCGATCAACTGCAAAAGTTAGTGGGGGACAGCAAAGATCAATACGGCGGTCATGTCTACCATCAGAGATGTTATGGTTTAGTCTCAGTATTTCCTTTCAGTAGTCTTTCAATAGGAACAGCAATGTCAGAATGAAAACGCATTTCAGTTCATAGCTAAAAATCAAGATATTGGCCTCCAGATAGAGATTGCTTTTTCTGTTTCACATCTCCAAAATTTGGAGAAAACTTTCCTTCCTAGTCAATTGGGACCGCGTCTGCAAGTTATCGGATGATAAAGAACCATCGGACCACAACCACAGCCACACCCAGCTGAGCAGTAAGAATAATTGAAGAGCAGCTTAATCAGAAGGTGTAGACAGCGATGGCCAGCAGGACTCCGAGCACGACAGTAGAGATGGGAGCCTTGGCAGAAACGCCAGTGTTCTTGTGACTAGAATCATCCGCTGTAGAGTTGGACTTGGTCTTCAAGTCGGTCTCGTTTGCCCGCTTGGCGGTGACCTTATCGTTGTAGTGGATCTTGGCGTTCCAGGGGTACGGCTTGGTGTCGTACGACGGCTCCAGGTGTCCATAGGTTTTCTTGACGATATCCAGGATACCGTGACCGGCGGAGCACTTCTCATTGCTATCGGTGATAGGGACCGGCCACTTGGCCTCAAACTTGGAGGTATTACCAGTGGATGTGTCCCCAATTGACAAGGGACCAGGGTAGGTCTGATTGAGCGTGAGGTGGGTGGTGTCGACCTCGTAGTTGACGTAACCGGTCTTGTTGGCGACAATCTCGAAGAGGTTGGCACCGCAATCCCAGCGTCCCAGGGAAGGAAGACCCCAGTTGGCGGAGACACTGGCAATGCTAGAGTAGTGAGTGTAGAAGGTATCATCCTTGGTACCCTTGAGGTGTTCAGGAACGGCGCCACCAACGAGAACGCTGAAGACACGGTTGTCGCCCGTGTAGGTTTCATCTTCATCGAAGGTCAGAAGGAGAAGAGTGTCGTTGTAGAAGTACTCGTTCTCGAGCAATTTGGCCACCCAAGGACGCTCCCACTTGGCAGCGAAAGTGATGCTGGTATCATGCGCATCGTTGGTCATGTTAGGAGTGATAAACGCCCACTGAGGAAGCTTCTTGTCCCGGAGATCATTTTCGAAGTCATCAAAGCTCTTGATAGAACGTAGACGAGTGTCGTTGGCCGCGACAGAGTCGTAAAGCACCATCGGGTTGTGCTTTCGAACGTAATCAGGCTTGTAAGTTTCCTGGTTGGAATAATTGTAGCCCTGGAAACCGGCATAGGGAATGTGCTCCTGGTATTCAGCCCACGTGATGTGCTTGGTATCAAGCACATCAGCAATGGAGGAAACGTTCTCGGGGGCCTGATTGAAGTCGTCGTTATCCATTCCAAACGTGTCACCGCCAGCGGCAGCGCAGTAGTTGGGCTCGGATGGATGGGTGACAGCATAGTAGTTGGTCCTAAAGAGCATCAGAATGGGTCATCTTAATCATATCCAAGGTCACTGGAAACGTACAGCAGAATACCCTGAGAAGCAAGCCATTGCATGTTGGTATCCGCGGCGGCTTTGTCATAGTCCTGTGAGCCTGTTAATCACGCCTCGGGTCTTCTATGTATTGGAGATGCTTTGGGGATTTGTCACATACAATGTTCTCCAGCCAGACTTGATAAAAACGATCAAAAGCCAAGCCCTTGACATTCGAAACAGTGACTTCCGGCTTGGTTGTTGCGGCAGCCGCATGAATCTCCGCCAGAGAGGGCTCAGTAGTAGTAGCTGTCTTAGCGGCTGCCAGAGCAGTCACTCCCACCAGAACCGCGAGAACGGCCTTCATATTGACGGATCAGAAAATCAAAGATTGAAATAATTGACGGACTGAGAAGGCAATCTGAGAAAGACGAAGGTAAGAAAGAAGGAGAGAAGAAAGGAGAAAGATGACAGAATTGTCTAGCGATTTTATGGAAAGGGTGTCACTACACGTGCTTCTTACAATTGCTCGGAAATAAAACAAGATATACCTGACCGGTACGTGAGTTACTGTGCTTTGACCAGGGTTGCTCAAGTCTCACGTGGGTACTGTGTCCCTGATGTTGAATTGATGTTTAGAGTGTTGTTTGTACGACGTTGGCACATGTCACAGCGGGGCCCTCTGATTGGCTGGTACGTACAGGGGTACTTAATGAGGGTTCGCGCCAAGACTAAAACGAATGCTTAGCTGAGTCCATGGCCCCTCACTAAGCTTGGACGGTAAAAAATTCTGGACATAGTCCTTCATATAACATGTATATATACTCCGTTGATGTATAGAATATACAGTAAATATGTAAGAGATGAAGCCTACCCCCTTTTTCTTTTTGTAATTTCTGTCAACAAGATCCAATTGAAGTGGAGACTTATCGGACGCTAGCCCATATGGTTTTCTGGAGAAAACCCTGGTCGGGCTAAGCATCCGAGTCAGCTTCCTCGGGACGCTTAGTGAGTGGGGAACGCGTGCCCAGGCAAATCACTGAGCTTGGCCTAGGGGCGTGCTGAGCTTCACCCAATGATCAAAAGGTCATTGACAATAGATAAACACGCAAATAAAGGATCTAGGAGCGGAAGAAACCACGCATATGTAGGTATTTTATGTAGGTATATCGCAAGGGTACCCGTGGGCATGCATGTTATACAGGGCTGACATATCATGTGTCATATGATCACTTTAGAACTGCCTAGTAGGGCAATTTCTCGCCTGAGTAGTTGTCGGAGGTTACAATTAAAGCCAGCGGCCATTTTGAGAAGAGCTGGAGAATAAGAATTCCCGAGCAAATGATTGGAATGAACATTCTCTGTGAATTTCATAAAAGAAAGCTCATGTGCTATCTATCTAGATGAGGTTACACCCCTGTTCGGGGTTGGGGATTTCGAAATTGTATCCATTATACTAGTCAGGAAGGTGACATTAGTGAGGCTCATTACTATGCCTATCTAGGGCTGCCTAAATCGGGCGTAGGTTCTTGAATATTTAATGAGAATCCTATTATACAGGTCATCAGGTATCATTTTTGTATATTTTTACTGGGAAATCCTCCGACGCTTCCTATTCTGGCTTAGAGTCTCCTACCACGGTTCTCAGTTTAGATCTTGTCTTCTGGGCCGCCAATACCCTCGAACTGACCTGCCCTGGCGAGTCTAGAAGGGACGGAATGTGAACAATGTGAACAGTGGATAGATATCTCACAGAGCAGTGCATGGCTTACCTGTTGCGGTCATCGCGGGTGCCACCCTCATCCTCCGGGATTACAAGGCGATCGCTGCCAGAGGAGGCTGAGCCAGGGCCATACTTCACACCTGTGGGTTGAGAGAATCGTTGGTTGACCATTTCGTCAACACCAGACTCGACAGCTTGTATGGCTGTTAGTAAAAACAGTTTCACTGAAGTCTAGCTTCCCTACCTACTTGAGTCACTCTTCTTGCCGAGACCCTGCTTGGCCTGGTAGGAGTTGAGGTCCCTCTCCGCGTTGAGGGTGACCTGGTTCAATTCTTCGGTGCGAGGCATGTTATTTGTCTTAACGTTGCAGTATATGTAGGTAGTTCTGATGGATGTTTGAGGTAAATTTGAGCCTTTAAGTTGCTATCCATTGAGCTGAATTGCGCTTTATATACATCGCTCTGGATCCTCTCCACATCCACATCATATCTACTTCACTTCATGTGGAAAATTGTAGTTGCATCATGCTACATCATACGTATGTCACGAGGAAGATGGAAAACGTTGTATGTTGCAGGTAAACAGAAATTTTTGCTTGAAGACCTGAAATTCATCGATTCTAGATTAATCACACTCCAAGCTTCCAAGGTTGGAAGTTAGTTGAGGCTGACTTCACCGTCTCCACTGCCCAGGGGAAACATCAAGAGCCCTAGGAACAGATCTGAATCGGGACTGAAGCTAGGGTCCAGCCCTAGGGTTTGGCGGGACCGGAGTATAGATTATCCGGAGGCGGGGAGTTTATGCTGGAGAGGGACCTCGGGAGCTCCGACGAGACATGTCAGTCCTCTAATCAATCAGCACCTTGGAATTCGCGTCGAGCTCCCTTTCATGAATGTCTAGTGACACAGGGCACATCAGTGAAACTCTGATCTGGTGCTTGTATTAGCAGAACTAGGCTTTATAGGTCTTTTTTTCACGCGTCGATCAACTCTGCTAGCTATTCGCCATGGCCTTTGCCATCGAAGCACAGGGTGAGACCAACCCGCTCACCCCGCAGAATGTGCTCAATACGCTAGTTCTTGCAGCAAGCTCGTCTCAGCAGCAAGTTCGAACAGGCACTGAACAGCTCCAGAACTGGGAGAAACAGGGCATGTACTACTCTTTTCTACAGGTATCATTTAACAGTCTTGGTTGCCCTTCCGTTTCACCTAATAACACATTTTACAACACACAGGAAGTCTTTCTTGATCACTCCGTACCGAATGAAGTTCGCTATCTCGCTATCATCCAACTCAAGAATGGTATCGATAAATACTGGCGCAAGACAGCACCAAAGTATGTTATCGGAATATAGCTAAGATGAGGGCATGCTAACACTGATAAAAGTGCGATCAAACCGGAAGAAAAGGAGCATATCAAGACCCGGGCCCTTGAGGCAGGAATCGTTGAACCTGCACCGCTGTTGGCTCTCCATAACTCGCTGATGATTGCCAAAATCATGCGATTTGAGTTTCCTCATGACTGGTAAGGCATGCTGCAGCTATTTGTCTTCTCATTCTAATTTCGAGCAGGCCCGATGCTATCTCGTACATCATTTCCTCACTCCGATCCTCTGTTCAACCTGGAGCAAATCCACTCCAACTTCCCCGAACTCTCCTCATATTGCTACAAATAGTCAAGGAATTATCCACGGCACGAATTCAACGAACGCGACACAATCTTCAGTCTGCATCGCCTGAGATATTCCAGTTACTGGGAGGCATCTATGTCGATAAAGTCAATCAATGGGGCGCGATACTGGAGCAGGGTGGTGCGGGCGAGGGGGAGTTGCTGGAGACGCTCGAATTGAGCTTGGTCGCTCTTAAGGTCCTCAGGCGCCTGATAATTGCTGGCTTTGAACACCCGAGTCGCAGCCAAGAAGTACAGAGTTTCTGGGTGCTGACGCATTCGCACTTCAGCAAATTCCATTCTCTTGTGGACGGGTCTACCAATCTACCCGAGCCAATTCATCGGGCTATCGAGAAACATTTGCTGCAGATGTCGAAGTTGCATGTTGAAATGGCCAAAACACACGCCGCGTCTTTCGCGTTGCTGCCAGACAGTATCTCGCTCGTCAAGTCGTATTGGTCATTAGTCATCACACTCGGCGAGAAGTATGACAGCCTTGGCGCTGGAGGCGAAGATGAAGGGAAATCCTTGACTGAGAAGACCGGCCTCCGGGCTCTTCTCTTGATTCGTGCGTGCGCAAAGATGGCGTTCAACCCTGCTCAGAGTTTCAAATATCAGACACCGGAAGACAAGGAGGAGCGGAAACAATCTGTTCAGCTCGTCAAAACCCAACTATTTACCGAAGAATTTGTGATCAATGTCATGGAGCTACTCGTCACGCAATTCTTCAGGTTCCGCAAGATCGATTTCCAAGACTGGGAAGAAGAACCAGAGGACTGGGAGAAGCGAGAGGAAGAGAACTCTGACGCTTGGGAATTCTCAATCCGTTCATGCTCGGAGAAACTGTTCCTTGATCTTGTGATTCACTTCAAGGATTTGCTGATTCCACGTTTGCTGACCGTATTCTATACCTTCGCAAGTAAGTTATTGATGAGCCATATAAAGTGTGCGCGACTCTAATATTTATACTACAGGCACCGACAACCACAATGTGCTGCTGAAAGACTCGCTCTATTCTGCCATCGGCTTGGCTGCGGCCAGTCTTGAACAACACCTGGACTTCAACGCATTCTTGGAGCATACCTTAGTTGCTGAGGTCCAGTCTCAGGAACCAGAGTACAAACTTCTGAGGAGAAGAATTGCACTCGTACTTGGCCAATGGGTTCCGGTTAAGGGGAGTGAACTGAACATGAATGCAATTTACCAGATCTTCCAGCATTTGCTCGGCAAGCATGATCCTTTGAACGACCTGGTCGTCCGCATCACCGCCGGTCGACAACTCCGGAGTGTACTTGACTCATACGAATTTTCGCCTGAAGCATTCATGTCATTTGCGCCTAATATCTTGGAGAGTCTCATGTCTCTCGTTCAAGAAGTAGAATCATCGGATACGAAGATGGGGCTTTTGGAGACGGTTCGCATGGTGGTGGTCAAAATGGAAGATCATGTAAGTTGTTGCCTCGTTTCCATTGGTGGGCTGCATAACTCATAATATTAGATCACTCCCTTCTCCGATCGAATCATCTCTTTACTTCCACCATTGTGGGAAAGCTCTGGCGAAGAGCACTTGATGAAACAAGCCATTTTGACTTTGCTGTCATCTCTGATCCAGTCGCTGGGACAGGAGTCTGTGAGATATCACTCTCTCATTCTTCCCCTGATCCAAAGCTCCGTAGAACCCGGCTCGGTAAGCCCCCTGTGAATCATGCTGCACATATCAACCAAGCCTAACCTTTTGCCAAGGATACCATCGTTTACCTTCTAGACGAGGCACTGGATCTCTGGCATGCCATAATTCAGGCTACGCCATCTCCTGCCTCGCCAGAAATCATATCGCTCCTCCCGTCTTTGTTCCCCATTCTCGAAGCGGCAACCGATAGTACCCCGCAGGCTATCCATATCCTTGAATCCTATGTGTTCCTTGCGCCACAGGATATTCTCAGTGACCGTTTCCGCTTCCAAATAATGGTAATCCTTGAATCACTGCTCAAATCTACAACCAAGCAACGCCTCGGTGTGATACCTCGCCTTGTTGACTTAATCCTTCGCGGTGCTGAGACTGTCGACGGCGGCAGCGAAGCAACTTATGGCGTCATTTCCCAATCCCTTCTAGACAGCTCCCTCCTTGCCTCCCTGTTAGAAGGCCTTTACTCTGCCTACGAAGCGAGTCAGACATCTGGCCCAAACAGAAAGTCGTCACCGGTGGTAGGTGTCGTCGAGAGCGACTACTACTCTGTGCTAGCCCGCCTTGCACTGGCCAGCCCTACCATTCTAGCCTCATCAGTCGCCGCCGCGACCAATTCATCCGAAGAACAATCTCTGACCTGGATCATGACCGAATGGTTTTCGCACTACGACAATATTGGCAGCATTAACCAAAAGAAACTCCATGTACTTGCCCTCACCCAACTCTTGGCCCTACAAGGAGCGCCACTCGATCCGTCTCTCCCCCCTCCACCCCCTGCCTACATTCTCGCCCACCTACAATCATACCTTAGTGTATGGACGGATCTCATCACCGAGTTGGCAGACGGCAGCACTGACCCCAATGCCGATTATTTGGTCTGCTGGAACGCACCACCCGGGACAGAAACCGCGATGCCAGAAAGTACCCAAGAGGTCGAATCGCCTGAGATAGTTCGTCGCCGTGACTGGCAGTCTGGGGATGCAATCCATCGCTTCATGATCCGAGACTTTGTGCGCCATCGTCTGCAAGAGGTCATTGCTGGCTGTGGTGGGGCGCAGCGGTTCCAGGATGAGTGGCTAGTCAACGTCGACACCGAAGTCGTTGCGGCGTTCGGAGCACTTGGTTTGCTCTGAGTTAAGGAAGAGGACTTTTCCCACTTTGATATTGGCATAAGCATATCTTTCATTTGCATTACCACCATTCTGTTGTACATGCTTATTGCACCCCCATATTGTTCCATTTGCATGACCGCCAGGTCCATCCATACCTTTTCCACTTTTAGCATCCTCGGAATCCCAGCTACATACCCAATCCATAAGATCCTTTCTCAAAGCTTATCGTAATCACTGAATAATAGATCTTCCATGGGGCTTCGATTCGTACACATTGCGAACGCACGTTGGGATTCAGGGCCAGGAAGGTGTTCCCTGTGTCACTTTTCTTTTCTTTCCTGGCACTATGGTGTACAATTATTTTGCTTCTCGCAAGAGAAGAGGAGACAAAAAAATAAAACCAAGGCCTTACCAATACACATCCTACTCCAGAAAGTTTTAGGGACATTCTAACGCCATGAGTAATAAAGTTAAGGTTACACCCCCGGTAAGCTCCATTCCACATGTACCGAACCTTCCAAGGTTGGGAGTTTACCAAAGTAAAACTGCCCACGTGGCTACTTAGTTATCCTTCAAGGGGAAGAGAAAAGCATCCCAAACCAAAGAATATCAGTTGGATTCTTGGTTTCATAACGTAACCTGGAAACCCTAAAAATAAAGTACAATATAACTCCTTGCGGAAATAACTTGCTTAATGCAAGGCCAAAAACCAATTAAGCAATATGAATCCGGTCGGGACAAACAGGTGGACAAAAGAAACCCCAAAACACGTTAAAATCAGAGGAATGCTCCATGCGACATTTGAGAACCAATAAGAGCAAAAAAGGTACATAACTGATAACGCTCAGCATTGGCCGGGGAATTTACGGCTAGTGACAGGG